CGCTACACTGGAAAACAACTCCATGTACATGTGCTTCTATCAGAGATAATCCCATACGACGAGCTCGCAGAATAAAATACAACTTGCAAGGGCAAATATTCAAAGCCATCGAGGGAAATAATTATTTTTCATTTTTTGGCCCACGAAATTACTTCAACTTTTTTGCATTTTGAGACGAGACTCACACCATATAGCATTTTAATTTTGATTTCAATAACATGTATGAAATTCTGGTATCCATGTGTAATTTGATGTACATGGTATTTTTTTAAAAAGGCTGCCACTGAATCGAAATGCTTGTATTTGAATTAGTTTAAACTAGACGCAATGATAGCTATTTCATAATTTTTGTTTTATAGAAATCATGAAATACATCACATAAGAAACAAATTAAGTATTGCAGGCATTCAGAATCATGGAATGTAAACAAAACAATCCAAATAACATGTATACAAAAAAAAGAGAATATGTTTTCACATTTTAATCCGTCAATTTCAAATGAAATGTTAAGCTTCACAATGTGATATTTAGGGATGGAATTTGAAACAATCTAACCATACAGAATACAGTATAAATAAAATTATATGTGAAACAGTATTCAATTTTACTACTTGTTATTATTATTTTAGTTTATCGATATGTATTTTTTGCTTGATATTTATTTACTTGGTATTGTTTCCGAGATGCATTACGATTGAAGTGTATTTTGATAGTTTTAGGAGATTTCGCATTAGCGCAATTGCGTGACAAAACAACCGGAAGTTGAAATGGACGATGGGACCATGAGGTCTAAGAGAGCGCCTTTTTGAAGATGTCGGACTGACAGCAACTATTTTCCGACACGCCACAGATTGAGCTATCCTGAACTTTGCCGAAGTCTACGTGACGTTTGGTCAGTGAACACTGATTACTTTGTGGCTGGTTCATGACGTGAAATCATCACGAACTCGTACGAATCTGCGATCTATTGTTTTAACGGCGAATCGTCCACGTCCGTGCTATTCTTACTTTATCGTGTGACTACTGAGTAGAAGTTCGCCGATCCACGCTTAACGACGTGAAATATGTAGCGACCTGACAGGGATTCCTTCACGGTCTGTGAGATCGATTGCCATCCTGAATTTGTGCATACTATCCCGTCGAACGCGACCTGCACAACGCATCAGATGTTTAACAGCGATCGAGCCCAGCATCTACCGTGAAATTAGACTGGCCCAGTCGGGGCGATTAATTTTTTTTTGAAGTTTAAATAAAACAAAACAAAAATCGCAAAATCACCCCGACTGGTTTATTCTGCAGGAAATTCATTGCTATTAAATATTCATGAATGCTCACAGGTGGGCGCGGAAACACGTGCAAAATGAGGTGTACATGGTGAAGGTCACACTGCAGACATAACATGGCGGCACGTTGAACTTCGAGTTTGTCGTAGTCGTCGTTTTCAATTCATCACAATTTGTAAAAAAGTAACTCGTACTAGTCGTAAAATTAAAGAAAATCGGTTGTTACAACCAGCCGACGTCTTCTCGGTCAGAGATCAGTTGAAGAGACGTTATGATTGGCTTAGATGGTTGTCAATTAGAACATCATTAACATAATTATCCGTTGAAAAATCGACGGGTTCCTGCAGTGTCGATAGAGGGCCATGCAGAACAAACCAGTCGGGGGTGATTTCACAGTTACGGGGGATTTCGCGCTAACACCGCCATTTCGCGATGTTTTGTATTTTATTTGAACTACAAAAACAAATTAATCGCCCCGACTGCGCCAGCCTACCGTGAAATCTACGCAGCGAGCTGACTTCTGGTGGCCGAGCTCACAGCGATCAACTGGGAACAACGAATACGTCCTACGGACTACCGGTTGCTTATACAAGACGATAATATTCTGATTTACTGATAAGTACGTTTATGTAACATTGAACCATTGACATTTAAACTACAGTAATGTGGTTGGAAAATTATAATATATGTTCAAGCAAACGTTGCAACTTATGTATTACAGAGAAATATATTATAATTTTCCAACCACATTACTGTAGTTTAAATAAAAGAAATGAGCTTTTTTCTTCCCGTAGACACAGAGCCAAATCGTTGCTATGCAACAACTAGTTTTAATATCGTAAACACACTCCATTGTTATGCAAATCTGTAGCGCTTATAACGTAGTCTGCTTCAGTGGTTTATTTAAGGTAGCGAGACTATTATTTGTGTTGAAAATTACGATTTTCACATTTATTTATTAATTGATGAAATGCACTATAAACTTTCATGTGATAAAGTCAACATAACATAGAATGTCATGTAAGTTGGTTAAAATGTAGATTTTCTGAAGGGAAGCAAGGCAGCCTCAGTAGTGTTTCCAAAATCAACAACACGGG